GGCATTGAGTCTAACAAACCCTCACCATTTACAACTAACTTCAAACTCTACTCACCTCAACTTCACTATTTCCAAACTCCCAATCTCACGTTCAAACAGCAAACCTATTTCTCCATTCTTCAATCTCATCCCAGAAAACCCTTCAACCAACAAAAACCAAACAAAACCATTTCACTGAAACCTTTCCTCACATTCCACCCTCACCAACCTTTTCTGACCCATTCAACCAACAACCACAACAAACTTCACTAACCGGTAAACATCGAACCAAAACCCAGTTGAATCAAAATCGAAAAGAAAACAGAGTAACGAGTAGAAGGTAAAATGAGAGTGGAATGCCTTTGATTTCACGCTGATTTCGTTGCTTCTATGTGTTATCATTCATCTGTAAACGGCTTGTCATGGTTGGATTCACCTTCTGGATCGTTGAACGTTTTGTTGAGAAATGTTTCAGTTGTTTCAGCGTACCTCTCGTTTTGGGGCTTTAGTCAAACGATGTGTTGTCCATCTTTAATGTTCTGTTCTTTTTCTTTTTTTTGTATCTTACTGTCTTTTTTTTTTGGACGATGGGCTTACTGTAGTTCCATATGTCTTGTTTTAAATAGAACGTAAAGTATATATATATTATATTAGTTAAAACAACTTATTATTATTATAAGGTATATTATTTTCTTAACATTTTCTTAAAGTTATGTATTATGTATATATTATTTTTCTCCTTACTTTTCTTGATATATTTACTTGTTTTTTTTTTATCATCTTCCCCCTTTTAGAAACTTCTTTTTAAAAGAATACTTTATATTTATAGCTATATTATATTTTTTCATCTGCACCTATTTTGGTCGATGACGACACCTCCGTAATTCGTTATTAATCAAATTGTTGATAGATAATGTTGGATCCGAGACCTCTTTTTTCTCTTTATTTCTTGTCCCGATTCGATTCACCGACGCTATTAAACCATCTTGAATAAATCATCTTTGTATTGAACTAAAAGAGGAGATTAAGTGTAGACTTTCTTTCTCTCCGAGTGTCGAGATGCTCACTGTAGTGTGGGTGGTTTAGACACTCGTCTTTCAATACGAAGACGTCTTTCTTTCCATTTCTTTCCCTTTTCAAACCTTCCCTCCTAAAACCTCGGTCTCGTACCGAGCGCATTTTAAAACCCCTTCAATAAGGAATCATTTCTCTCTGTATTGAATCAAAAAGAGAGGATTGGGTGTAGACCTCTTCTTCTTCGAGCGTTGGGATGCCCACTGTAGTGAGGGTGGTTTCGACGCTCGTCTTTCAATACGAAGACCTTTTAACATTTCCTTATAAAACCTCGGCCTCGTACTGAGTTTACTTTCAATAATAAATTAATTTCTCTTTGTATCGAATTAAAGAGAGAAGATTGGGTGTAGACCTCTTCTTCTCCGAGTGATGGGATGCCCACTGTAGTGAGGGTGGTCCCGACACTCGTCTTTCGATACGAAGACACGCCTCTTCCACCACCTCTCCTTTCACAACTTCCTCCCGCAATCCTTGTCACCTAAAAAACCTCGGTCTCGCACCGAGTGCATTTTCAATTTCTTTTATAACAAAAACTTGAATGGTCGTGGAGTGGTTAGGCGTAGGCCTTCTCCTATCCCGAGTGCTGACGTTTACCGTAGGGTTCTCTGTCGTAAAGCACTTACCATTCAAAACCAAAAACATCTTTAATAAGAGAACGAAGTTCTCTTTGCATTGAATTAAAGAGAGAGGATTGGGTGTAGACCTCTTCTTCTCTGAGCGTAGGGATGCCCACTGTAGTGAGGGTGGTTTCGACGCTCGTCTTTCAATACGAAGACGCCTCGTTTGCCACACCCTTTTATAACAAAAACTTTGAGATAACGAATTGGGTACTACCCGTAGGGGTTACTATCCGAGGATCTGTCTCGCCCCCTAAAAAACAATCCAATCAATCAAACGTGACTTCTTGCCCCACGTGGCGAAAACTAATCAATCTTTCAAAAGGATATGATACGTCCGTTCTACCGCAAACAGGTAACGCCTAAGTCTCCAACGAGCGAGCAGCGAAACACCTAACTGCTAGAATGCGCACGATAGTATCATCCATAAAAAACATCAACACACCGTAGGCCGAACTACGGCTGCTCTGATTTCTCATACCAGATGAGAATACGTAGGCACAAGACGTCGATGTCTTGGCGAGCACAATCCCCCCTATCTGTAGTTTCCCGAACTACGTCGACTCTGACTTTCTCACACCCGTCGAGAATACGTAGGCCTAGGACTGCGAAGTCCTACCGAGTCTGTTCTTTCTCTTTTCTTCCCCGTTCTCTCTTTCCTCCTAACTTTCCTGTTTCTAACCCTTTCCCTCTATCCTTTGAAACACTTTTATAGCATAATATTTAAGCAAATAAATTCACACATCGACAAACAAAAGGTTCCCATCGAGTACGATGGATGCGAGGGGTGCTAATACCTTCCCCTCGCATAACCGGCTTCCGAACCCGTTCTTGGTTGCGAGACCATCTTATCCATTTATTTCCTAAGGTTTTCTCGATATTTTCCTTTCCCCTCATGGGATAAATAAAGTTCGGTGGCGACTCTTCTGTCTATCTTTTTCGCCTCCCCGTCGTTGCGCGATGCATTTTTCGAGTAGCGACACAAATGAAATAGAGTTCCTCCCTATTTATAAATGATATTACTTGCACTCTAAATAATCATAAAAATAACTTTCACACCCACATTTTCACCCTAACCCTTTTGCATCTTATGCATTATATCATCTCATTTGATCATCGATTCCCAGAGGTTTTGAATCATAATTTTCATGTTGGAGTATAGAATTAGGATTCCTTTTGATTGCTCTCCCAAGGCTTCACCTTTTGTTTGGTGTTCTCTAGTTGTTGTTGCCTTTGTGAATTAGGTTTGTGTAACTCAACATGTCATCTAATCTTTGTGCATCAAAAGTACAAGATTTGGTGCTTTTGTTTCTCCCGTTGTGCTCATTAGGATTGGAAGATTGGATTAAGATGTCTATGGTTTTAATTCAAGTTCATTGAACATCATATGGCAAGGTCATCTTGGTCAAAGAAAAGTCAAAGAAGCTTTAAGTGTTGATTATTGCTTAAGTGATAAGAAAGATGGGATCAAGCCAATTTAATCCCTTTTAACTTGGTTTTAATGAATAATTCAAGCTTATACAAAGAGAGTTTCAAGTATGAACAACATTAGTACTTAGATCAAATTCAAGGTGTTCATGGCAAGATAACTCCTTTTCATTTTCAAGTTCATATATCCAAAGAAGACCTTGTGCAACATGTTTGATTTTATCAAACTATCATCATGGACATGGCATTTGATGTTTCATCATCTAATAATGCTCATGCAAGCTTCAAATGATAAGTTTCACCAAGACAAGCCAAGGTAATTCACGAATTCAAATTGGTTGGCGAATTTGTTTCAAATGCAATCAAGTTTCATCCACACATGAGCAAGGAAATCACAAGCAACACATGGTAGAAGTTTGGCTCGGGTTCAAAGAAGCAAAAACAACCATAATGTTTATTCAAAGAGCGAGAGTAGTATCATTAATTAATAAACAAAGTGAAGTCATGGGGATGCCTTAAATTTGCGTCAAACAAAGAACACACACAGGCAAGGTGAGGTCATGACATGTTGCCAAAATCAAGCTTTCAAGAGAAAGCAATCAAGACATGTATACATGTGTAAATAACAGTCATATTCAAGCCCCAAATTTACCATGATGCAGATGCAAAAAGCAACCAAAAGAGGTTCAAATGTGTTAGCCAGAGGCAGCAAAATGTAGGTACAACCATCAAATGAAATCGGGTACAAGTGCAAGACAACAAATGGGGAACTTCTAGAACCAGTAGGGACCACCAATGTTCCTTTTCCCGCAGAGCACGAAATGAGAGAAGGATTACACACTGAAATTCAAATTTTCCAGCTCATCAACCTTGGTTACCAAGTCACGAATTTGGTTTTGGCCTCGCACGAGGTTTGACACCTTGATGTGTAATCATGATGGAACATTTCAATTTGATTTATATAATAGTGTAAATTTGTCAGATATTTTCCACTCAGAAATAAACACACTTTTGGTGAACATTATACTGTCTTAGTAAACTAAATTTAAGTCTCAATTTTAACATTGTACTAATAAGCTAAAGATTGTTAAAGAGCTATAAATTATTAAAGATTTCCATATATATATATATATATATATATATATATATATATATATATATATATATATATATATATATATATATATATATATATATATATATATATATATATATATATATATATATATATATATATATATATATATATATATATATATATATATATATATAGTTAACATAATTAATCTAATTGTGCTTTAGAATTTCTTTCTAACTTGTTCATTTAATCTTGCTTTAGGTTCTCTTTTTAACTTGTGATTGATTTTTGTTACCGATGATGTGTCCTTTATAAGGATATAATCTTTTTTTTAAATATATTTTCTACATAACCATATTTAAAATATATATATATATATATATATATATATATATATATATATATATATATATATATATATATATATATATATATATATATATATATATATATATATATATATATATATATATTATAGTAGATTTGGATAACAGTTACGCGCTTAACATTACGTTTTCTCGCGATATTTCTTTTTAATTTTTTCTGTTAGGCCTAGACCCTCATTTGTGTAAGAAAAAAAAAAAAAAAACTCTAAACAAATAGCGAGATTTATAACCATTCTCCCAAATTCTCAAAATAATTGAAAAAGTAGACTAGTTTGTAATTTGGGGGACTTTCTAGCAAATATTATTATTTTAGGTTAGAGCAATAACTTGTTATACGACCCTTCCTTCTTCATTTTTTCAACATAAACAACAACTTCAGCATTCATTCATCAGAAGAAACCCTCACAGATCGATTGAGTGAGAAAGAAGAAAAGAACCATGGAGTGCGTTTTCGGATTAGTCGGTAATGGCTTCGCTATTGTGGTGGCTGATACATCCGCAGTTCATAGCATCCTCGTTCACAAGTCCAACGAGGACAAGATCATGCTCCTCGATTCACACAAACTTGTTGCGGCTAGTGGCGAACCCGGCGACAGGTTTCACAATTTCTAACCTAGTTTTGATTTTGATTTTGATTCTGATTTTGAATTTGATTCATCCCCTTTCACTTTCAGGGTTCAATTTACTGAGTATATTCAGAAAAACGTTGCTTTGTATCAGTTCCGTAATGGGATCCCTCTCACCACCGCCGCCGCCGCCAATTTCACTCGTGGTGAGCTCGCCACAGCTCTCCGCAAGGTATGCGAATTCCAAATTCCTTTTTTTGTTGTTTACTTGTTTTTTCTTTAAACCCTAATAATTAGTACTGTCATTAATTGCGTTTTTTTTTGTTTTGTTCTCATACTGCTTTAGTGGGTTGATCTAATGCTAAAGTTTAATATCTTGATTTAGTTAGTTTATGTCAATTCGGATTTGTTTTTACTCAAAAAGTTTGCATTATTATTTAGATTTTTCTATAGTTGAATCTTTTTCTTCATACCAAGAGGTAGAAATTATAAATAAGTGCCCAAAACAATGACTAATGTAATTGATAGAAATATTGCTACCTTGCTTTTTATGTTTCTTGCTAGTGTATATAATTTGGGTTTGGATGATGAGATGAAGATGAACTTTTAAGTTGTAGCTTTTTCTTGTGAGAAATGCTATTAAGACACAATACTGTGGACATCGTATGAACGAACTGGTTTTCTGAAAGTTAAAATTGTTTGTTTCCTTTTATTGAGCTACAGTACATACGGTGTGTCAATGTATTGTTGTCTAATCATGTGTCTGAATAGCATTTCATTTTTTTTAAGCAAATGTTAGTTTATTAGTTATGTTAGTATTTTTCTCCTATACGGAGATTTGAGCCTTTGTACTTTAATTCCTTTAATCCTTGGTTCAAACCTGTTGAGTTGAGCTACCCAAACTTGTAAATAGTAGTTACATCTCTTGGTCGTTTATGGTTGGCTTACCACTCAACTAACTCCTCAACGAACCCCCTACATATATGTCTGACTTTTTGGTTGAGGGAAGTTTTCTTCTCATGTTCTGCTCTGGAATCTTAAAGGGATTTAAGATAGGGGTGGATTGAGTGTAAGGGAAAGAAACAAACATTTAGTAAAAGTTGATGAAGTGAATAAATTTGTTGTTTTGGTTCAAACGGATATAAAGATATACATATTTGGATTGGTTCCTGGTGAAGGAGATTTATCATTTATAGATTGCTGAGAGGATAATTGGAACTGTTCAGTTTGTGTTTTTGTTGCCATGGAATGGTAGTGGTAGTGGCAAGTTGGGTAATCGCTCTGTGTGCTACTGTCGTCATGGAATGGTTGTTGAAATTATTCTATGGACCAATGGTGTCTCAACCCATTGGTATAGTATATTGATGTGGAGAATATTGGCTTTATTAATCACGTGTTAATATTTCTGGGTCATGCTTGATGTAAGTGTGAGATCCTGAGTTGTTTTATCATAAATGGTGATATCCTAATACTTTAGGTAATGGCTTATTAAGTTCCCGTCATACACAGAAAAAAAACATGTCCTCCCACTATGGCTGACTCAACTCGACACTCTTACGAATCCTGATCCATAGAAATGTAGAAAGAGTTCAAAGCTTTTATAAATACAGCTATTAATATGAATAGGTTTATGTTGTTTGGCTGCAATTAATTAGCCATGTTGCATTGTGATTATTATGACTACTGAGTTTATTTTTACGTGAATTTGGTTTTCTTCAGAACCCCTACTCTGTGAACATCCTTCTTGCTGGTTATGACAAAGAGACTGGACCATCACTATACTACATTGACTACATTGCAACACTACACAAGCTTGAAAAGGGAGCTTTTGGTTATGGTTCCTATTTTTCACTATCAATGATGGACAGACACTATCACAGTGGAATGTCTGTGGAAGAAGCAATTGATCTTGTTGATAAGTGCATTGTGGAAATCAGATCAAGGTTGGTTGTCGCACCTCCAAACTTTGTTATCAAAATTGTTGACAAGGACGGTGCAAGAGAGTATGCATGGCGCCAATCAGTCCAGGACACACCTGTTCCTTCAGCTTGAGTTAATCTTGTTCCTTATTGGACTTATTTTCTTATGCCTGTGCTTTTAATATTTCACTTTCTCTTAATGATTTTGAGATATCTCTGAAAGTCATCATCTCTAAATAGTGAAAAATTAGACATTTTGTTGTTTGAATTACTATGTATTGACTAGTTCTGCTCAGATTTGTGACAATGCATGAGATTAGCTTAAATTTTAAGTTGAAAACTGTTAATACGTGGCTTAAGACACATGTTAATGAACCAATTCTAGTAAAAATATATTCCATCTATTCCATCTGTCTAAAATTATCAGTTGTTTACCCTTTTTGTTTGTTATTATATGTTGATAAAAATATTTGTATTAAAATATAAGTTATTTTATAATTTTGACAAATAATAATAATAATAATTATTATTATTATTATTATTATTTTATTATTATATTTTAAATATTTATTATTTTTTCTTCTTCAATATTAGCAAACACTCTTGCACTTGTTTTATTAGGTACATATGCATCATCTAATTGTCGAATGTCGTGTCATTTTTTTTCTAATAGTTTATTCTAAATTAAATTAAAATTTTAAATAAATTTTAGTTAATAGTACCTGTCTCTAAAACAAATTTATGAGAACATAAGAATTTATTTATTTAGATAATTTATTTTCTTATATATTGATAAAAGGAAGTTGTCAAAATGGTTTATAATGGAAATGGAGGAGGTTGTTACTTTTGAATGTACAACTTTGTAATACTATTTTCTAATAAAAACATGAAAAAGAGAAATTTTAAAAAATTGGAAAATAATTTATAATTTGGAATGAGTGCGTCTATAGTCAAATGAATGAATCCCCCGGAGCTCGTATGAGAGTTGGTTTAACTGTTCTAACTATGGCAGAATATTTCCAAGTTAAACTTACAAACATTACTACTTCCATTTTAAAATGATCGTCGTTCTCACTTTTCAATATAGTAATAATTATTATTTTTTCAATTGTGTCATAATTATTACTTTGTACACTATTTTCAACGCATTAATAAGAATAATTTAATAAAAGTGTAATATTTTTTCTTTTTTTGCTACAAATTGATGTTAAAGGCATTAATCATCCCTCTCAGTTCAGATTCTTTAACATGTGATCTTTTGTGGGATGTCCTATGTACATCCTAAACAGTAAATTAAAGGTCTTTAAAGATATTCTTAAAGCTTGAAACAATATTGTTTTTAGAAACATTAGTGAAAATCTTAAAAGATCTGAGACCAATGTGGATGCAGTGCAGACTGGAGCAAACTTTTACCTATGAAGAGTTTTTTTTGAAAGAAAAATCTAAGATTAAATGGGCATTTGAAGGAGACAGAAACACTTGTTACTTTCATAAGCTTGCAAAAATTAACACCACCACCAAAAACATTACCTCTTTGAGAATGGAGGACAATATGCTAGACATATGGTGCCTCATTTCACTAACCTTTTTAATGTTACCTCTATTTTGGAGGAAAATGATCTGATGATGTAGGTAATTCCTAATCTTATCACTGAAGACATCAAACACAAATTTCAGATAAGTATGGGCAACTTTTCATGGCTCCTTGGTGACGGGGCTAAAATTGATTTTTGGTTTTATCCTTGGTGTGGCCAATCTTTTGTTGATCAAATTCATAAAAAAATTAAACTATGATCTTTCAACAAAAGTGCAACATTTTATCTCTAATAGTAATTGGATTCTCACTCTAGTTATACATTTAACTTATCGTTCTATTATTTCTTAAATCAATAATATGCATATTTCGTTGGACCACACGGAGGATGAGTTGATCTAGAAACATTCTCTTCAGGATCTCTTTCCTTTAAGGAAGTTTATTTTCACCACAGGTCCCTCAAACCTCAAGTGCATTGGACCTAGAGAATTTGGAACTGCTCCATCCCCTCTTATAGATCCTTTCTTGTTTGGAAATTAATGCACAATCGAATTTCTTGTGATAATAATCTAAAATCAGAGGATGCCATATTTCTTCAATGTGCATCATTTAAAGGGTCGACGAAGACTCAACTCTGCACATCTTCATTAATTGTCACTTTGCAGCAAGCCTTTGGAATTGGTTAAGCAGTCTAATGTATTTATCTTTCAATCCTCTTCATCCTAATTATCTTTTCTCCACCCTTGATGATATATGGAGTCTTCAATGTAAGCTTGTTCTTAATTCAGTCATAATATCATTAATGCCACCTGGTTTCAAAGGAGTCAAGCTTATTTCAATGATACTAAGACTAGTTTGAACTTTGTTAAATCTTGGATGTTAACAAGCTCGACCATTCCCAGCAATGCTAACAAGTTGACTTTGGGCCCTTTTATGAGAGATTTCGTTCTCTTAAAAGCCTTTCAAGTCAATATGCACCCTCCTAAACCTACCTCTATAAAGGATATTATTTGACTTCCTATTCTCAATTGGTGGAAATGTAACACAGATGAAGCTCTTGGTTGCCCGAGCTTAGGTGCTGGTGTTTGTAGAGATCATAAGGCATCTTTCATAGGCATCTTAACTGTCAACTAAGACATCTTCCATGGTATCATGTATGCTATTGAATGTGTCCGTGCTCGAAGTTGGTGGAAACCTTTGGATCAAAACTAATTTGAAAATAATGATTTTGGATTATAACTCATCCTCAATTGTGGCTTGGCACCTAAGAAACATATGGAATAAACCAAATATATGAATTTTACTATTTCTCATATCTATATAGAGGGAAATAACTTAACACATATATAAATTAATCAACTTAGGTCCAAGTTCTTCAGATTTCACTTGGTTTCATAGATTGCATCGTGATGTTTTACCTATATATAATAACTTATTGTCGTGTTTTCCCAATTTTATGCTTGATTTCTCTTGAAGGGTTTGGTCTTGTCCCCTTTGTCTTGTATCTTTTTCCTTTTTAATATATTGGTGCACAAATGACTCACTTTGCTTTTGTATTTTTAATTTTAAAAAGTGAATAAAATATACTTAACCATCATGAGTTAGACATTTCTATCCTATTTAATAGGTTTCTTTAGGATTATTTTATCCAATAATATTCATTATTAATAAAGTTAAAATTATACCAATTATGATATATATTTTAGAAAAAAAATTACATACAGATAAATATATTATAAGTTAGGAGTGAGTCGGGGGGTTGTTGTTGGGTTTTAGGATTGAGCCTGGGGGGAGGGGGTTTAGGAGTGATCCTGGGGGGAGGGGTGGGGTGTTTGAATTAGGACTTTAAAAATTTATCTAATTTTTATGAATCTATGTTCTATCTTTTATGGTTAGGCAACGAAAACGGTAAAGTGCGAAAAAGTATAGAACACTGAGAGTTATCCTGATTCCCTCATAATCTGAGAGTACTTCGGTCTCCATACCACATGTAAGCGATTTTATTATTGTTAGATATCCATAAACAATATTCTAACCAAGTTATCAAGGACAATCCTCTTAAAACTTGTTCACCAAGAAAAGAAAACAATCCTTCCTTTTCTTATAACCTTATCTCCCACAATCCTGGATGATAAGTAACTAAACCTAATATCAAACAATCCTTGATACTGAGAGCATCTTTAGTGGGAGTATCTTAAGTGGGTAAACTAAAATATATTTTGTGGGTCCAAAGTGATTTGTAGGATTTAAAAATTTTATAGTTGATTTGAGATGTTTTTACTTTAATGATAGTTGCTTATAAAAAACTAAAATTTGTCCCTATATTTTAATTCTCATTGGTTCAAAAAAATTGTGGGCCCGTTGTTTTCAAAAAATTACAAGACTTTAATAATATAAATAATAATATTATATGTTTCAAAATAAATAGCATACGTTAGCTATATAATTGCCGGAAACTAAAAGTTAGTGAATTAAATGTCATGTCATAGCCATTCCAATGCAAATTCTTTATAATCATCGTTAACTATAAAAAATTTAACTATTAAAAACCTGCATTAAAGATGCTCTTAGTAATTTACAACAAAAAAATATCTATAGAAGTAGATGAAATTTTGTAGAATTCTTTAAGACTTATTCTAAAAGAACAAAACTTTCTTCTCTTTCAAGTATGAAGATTCAAGAATAAATTCTCTCTAAGTGCTCAAGATACTTTATTGAAAATGATATGAAAATGTATTTCAAAAAGTATCTAAGTATGAAAGTTGTGATGAAAAATATGCAGAGAGATTTGAAGATTTTTATTGAAAGAAGTGAGTGTGGAATGAATTTTTGAAATAAATTTATAGTGACGGAAGCAACCATTCAAAAGTCATGGTAGTGGTTAGAGAAATTTCGAAATTTTATTAGAGATATGATGTAATGGATGCAATGAAAGGATATGGTGAAAAATATACAATTAATCAAGGCATTTTTCAGAAAACACACAAGTGCAATCGATTGCACCAAAATCACAATCGACTGTACCAAGTGTAACGTTTAAAAAATTTAAATTTTTTGACTATGACAACCGATTGCACGAAAATGACAACCAATTGTAGTAAGTGAAAAATGCAATTTTTAATAAGTCAGTGGTCAAAGCGTATTTGATGCAATTGGTTGCTGCCAAGGTGCAACCGATTGTCATTAGTGAAAATTTAAAAATTGGCTTATGCAATTGATTTAAAACCATATATCATCTAGAATTTTAACTAAGATATTAGATGATCTTTGAAATATATTTTAACATGGTTCAAAATCAAAAATAGCTTTTTAATGTATGATCAAAAACTTGAGCACTAAGATTATATAAGTCAAGAATTTCATATACCTAAAAGTTTGACTAAACTTATCTTGCAAGTGAAGTAAAGTCTTAAAACTCTTTTCTTTTTCCTTCTTTGATTATATCATTGTTGAGTTTGTCTTCATTAAAACATATTGGAAGCTTGTCTTCACATTCTCCCTCTTTTTGATGATGACAACCATGAAAATTATGAAATCTTGAGAAACACAGATTGTTGAAACATGACCATGATATTGAAGTTTTCATATATTCTTAAGAT